TACATGTTTAGAAAAAGATTTTGAATCATTATTACCAGTTAAACCTATACAACTTAGTTACGTTCCTAACAGAGGGAGGGTATATTGCTCCAAAAGACACAGTTATTGAAGGCAAATGATTTTGCACCCCTTCCTTTTTGACTTTTTTTGTAAAATATAACACTCAACCCACTTTCACTTGACCTAGTCCTATATGAAAGGATAGAGTCTACAGGATTAAAGTCTATAACCATATATTTAGGAGTAAGACCGTTTTATTTAATAAACATAACATAATGTAATTTGTTTCAATCTTTTTGAACCAGCAACACATTTAAAACCTTAAAATGTTCATAATAAATATGAAATCTATGACCAAGTACGAGCCTTACTCTGTGTTACCCGGAATTTATCTAAAGTGCAAGAACACATATAAAACAAACATGAAACTCTTGTATTTGTTTAATAGATGGATAATAGGTGGTATTCTCTTGATAAGAGATCTTATCAACCAAGAAGGGGAGTTTTATACATATGATGAATTTTCCTCAATAGTTAATATTAGAACTAATTTTTTAGAATATAGAGGTATAGTAACTTCAGTTAAAGAATTTTTAAGAAAAGAAAATGTTAAAGATTTACCAAAACAACATAAATATAACATACCTATTCCAAATCCTATTTGTATAATTAATAGAGATAAAAAAGGATGCCGTTCTATATATAGAGCAATGCAATCTGAAAAACAGTACCCAAAATCATTACAAAAATGGAAAAATGATTTAAGGAATATAAATAAAAGTGACTTTTTTGAAAAGAATTCTTTGTATAATTTGGTTTACAAATATACAGAGGACCCAAAGTTAATATGGTTTCAGTATAGAAAAAAACATAGAATTCTTGCAACAAATATTTGCTTAAGAAAATGAATATAATTAATGATAATAATTGTTCATTTTGTCATAATGAAAAAGAAACATTGATTCATCTTTTCTATGACTGTGATGTAACACAACATTTTTGGGAACAACTACAAGTTTATATTAATGATAGATGCCACCTTAACATTCAAACCTGGAGTCAGTTAGATATATTGTTTGGCAGTGCTTGATGAAGTTATAAATAAAATAATATTACATGCCAAATATTACATATATTACTGTATATTAAAAGAATTAAGGCCTGATATAGGAACTTTTAAACAACAACTGTGTGCCAGTTATAAAATTGATAAATATATGTCCAAACAGTCATTCAAGCATAATGAATTTGAAAAAAAAAATATAATAAGTTTGTAGGGGTGTTACTACATGTTTATAATTTATTCATAATTATTTTTAATCTCTTCCACCACCAAAATCTGAATGTTTATAATTCAATCATTCTTCCTCCACCAAAACCTGAAAAATTCCTCCAAGAAAGAATTACTTACCAGTTCATTTATATGTAAGGTTACCGCTTAACGAAAACTCTAGTAGTTGGCACCAAAAACCTTTTATATAGGTTTTTTTTCTCTATCCTTTTTTATAATATTTTTTTCTCTCTTCTTTTTACTTCTCTATAGTTCAATGTTTCAAACAAGCTGTCTAAAACATTAAAAAAAACAACATCAAAATGAAGTGTTTCTGTTAGCACTATTAATTTTTCACTACCTTTTCTAGTGTGATACCTTAAGCATGTTTTATCATTAAATGTGTATGATTTTTTTTTCTCTCCTGTATATGTGGGTTATGTATTTACAAGTGAATTGTTTTGATTTGGAAAATTGACTGGTGAGATAATACCTGTATCATTTTATATTTTCTGTTTTTGTTTTTGGTGTAAAGAGATAAGTGGGTTATGTATATACAGGACATAACAATTTTTAATTGATGTTAACGGACTGAAATTATTCAAAACTATGGTTAAGTTTTTAATCAGGTCGCTGATCATTAATAAAATTGATTATTTTTAATTGACTAACGTTGAAAAACCCATTGCACATCGCTTTACTCAGGTTAAACACCGCGTGTATATCAATTAGGGAAGATTTGCACGTGTTTAGATGATCGGGATAATTATCGCCAAATCCCGTATTAAACTCGCAAAACTGTCACACAGTTATACCCGTTTCGGGCCGATGCTCTCATTATTTACTGTTTAGAGTAGGCGGTCTAACGCTTTGCATAGCGACCCTCTGATTGGATAATGATAATTAGCAGTCGTCATATGGGCAGATACAATCTCTGCTCTTTACATCGCCAATTAATTACTCTTTGGGAATTAAGATTTTATCGGCGATGTTGACTTCTCTTTGATCAATTGGGAGAGCGAAATGGGAATATACACGGCGAAGTTTTCGCCTTAATCGCCCTTCCGGATGATTTCTGGATTACTGTCGGTTGTTGTTTTTTTTAATGGAGATTTGAAGATATAATTGTTTTTCGATAAGAACAATATGAAAATCAGAAGTGTTTTTGGAAAACATTAATTAAGAATGTAAATAGCATGCTATAATTATGAGTTTATTCATTAAAAATGTATTATGTTACAATTAATCAAATAGTATAAACATCCAAAGTAGAAATATACTTTTTTCTCACAGTCAACAGAAAAATAAGAATAATGTTACAACATTTCTAGTTATATGTTGGACATAAAGAGTTTAATTATCGACAGCTTAGATTGTAATTTTAAAAATATATTACATTATAAAACAAAAACAAAAAACTCCCAGAGAATTTTAAAAAAAATTAAAATCTTTACTCGAATTAGTACTTGTAACATGTATTATTTGTATCATAGTTTGGAGACCTTTCTGTTGAACATGTGTCAGGGTTAAATCGTATACATATACATGCACAGTGCGTTAACTGGAGTGCGGGTATTAGTTACCCGCACTCCAGAGCATGCCCATTGATTGGCTCATTTTTGCTGGGGTTTACATACTGTGACGGCAGAGAAAGGGAAAGCGACAGAAATGTCATAATCAGATGTTCGTTCATTGGTTCATTTTTGCCGGGGTTTCATATTGTGACAGCAGGGAACGTGATTTTATGTTTGACTATGATACAAAAGAGAAAGAACACCAAAACACTCGGCAATCTGATTAATACTCGGGGGCTACGCCCCCTCGTACAAATCAGATAGCCTCGTGTTTCGGTGCTCTTTCTATTACATATAATTATTCAAAAGATAATTTAAGTTTGAATGTATTGTGTGTTTTTGTATGTGTGTAAAATATGTTTATTATTGGGAAAAATAAATGGGTAACCTATGGTTACTGAAATTTAAAAAAAAAACATATATAAAACAAAAAATGAATGCAATACAAAATATATTATAAATTCTTATGAGTTTGTGAAAAAGCGAGCATATACACACAAACTATCATTGATGGTGTTTGCAGTTATTCCACCAGTACTGTATGTAAGTAACTTGTAATCTGGACCTACCAGTGACTGCTGGGAAAGACCGGCTGACAACCAAGAATAGAATGGTGACGTCTGGAGAGACAGATGGCATTCAGGGAAGACTGAAACCAGGGTGTGAAGGGTTGGCATCCCAACACACGGTTCCTGTGAAGGAACACCATACCAAGCTACAGAACAGAATAAAGAGCAATACCCCCAGGGTCTTCCGAGAGGGGGGAGGATGTGAGGCCCATTGAGCAGGATTAAACGGTAACAACTCGGCTAATCCAACGGACTTTGACTGGAACAACGGCAGAAACCAAGTGTCATTGTGGGAAAGTTTGCAAGAACTTAAAAGGTCTGAAGATACACCAGGCAAGAACTAAGTGTGGATCTGGGAAGCAGCAAAACGCACAGTTAACACTGATGAGACGATGGAGGACCACAGCCAGGAAGCACACCACAGTGCTGAGGACCTCTTACCTAATGAAGTTACTCAGATCAACACTGAGGAGGAGCAATGGAATCAAAACCGACACCTTCAACAGACAGCAGGAAAGAAAACATACAATGGCCACCAACAGATAATAGGAGATGGGAGATCTTTGATGAAGACTAAATCAAGATCTTGGATAACACACTTACTGGAGACGTACAGAGAAAGATATCGGCATTGTCAACTATTGTATATGCAGTAGTTCAAGATCGATTTGGAGTAAGTAACACCAAAACCAGAGAAGGCACTCAGGGTAACATGAAGCATAACAGACGTCAACAAGAATACAAACACTCAGAACCGAAATAAATGATGTCACAAAGCAGTATAGAAGAGCAAATGAGGAGGAAAAAGAAGGATTGAATGAGTTAAGATCAATACTGAGGGAAAGAAGAAACAATCTACAAAGAGCAGAAAGAATCAGAAAAGCAAGGAGAGAAAGAAGGAAGAAGAGAGCAATGTTTGTTGCCAACCCCTACAAGTTTACCAAATCAACACTGGACGGAACAAAGGCGGGATCAGTAAAAAGCACAAAAGAGGAAGTGGAAAAACATCTATCAGAGACACACAGCGACGAAAGGCAGTGGGAACATCTAGGTAACTGTGATAGGATAGAAAAAGTACCAGAACCAGAAATATCAATGAACACTAAGGAACCATCATGGAAAGAAGTGTCAGATGTAGTGAAGAAAGCCAGGTCTGCATCATCACCAGGACCAAACGGCATCCCGTACAAGGTATTTAAGAAGTGCCCAAAAATTTTGAAACACCTGTGGAGGCTACTGAAAGTAGTTTGGAGGAAAGGGAAGATACCATCATGTTGGCAGAAAGCAGAGGGGTGTTTTATTCCAAAAGAAGAAAAATCGGAGGACATCACACAATTTCGGACAATTTCCCTCCTCAATGTAGAAGGAAAGATCTTTTTCTCTATTATGGCTAGAAGGATGACATCATATATGACAGATAACAACTATGTAGACACATCAGTACAGAAGGGCGGAATACCAGGATTCTCAGGATGTATTGAACATACGTGCATCATTTCACAACTTATTTAGGAGGCCAAAGTGAACAAGAGAGATCTTACAGTAGTATGGCTAGATTTGGCCAATGGTTATGGTACTGTTTCTCACATGCTGATACAGGAGTCATTAGATCATTACCATATTCCCGACCACTTTAAGAAAGTGATAAGAAGTTATCTCAGTGGGATTCAGCTGCGATTTACAACAAGCACATTTACAACAACATGGCAGAAACTACAAAAAGGAATAGTTACAGGATGTACCATCTCAGTTATCTTGTTTGTCATGGGAATGAATATGATTATTAAATCTGGAGAGAGAGAAACTAGAGGCCCAAAAACATCAACTGACATCAGGCAACCACCAAATAGAGGGTTCATGGACGATTTAACCATCACTACAGAAACCCATGTCCAAGCTAGATGGGTATTAAAGGCCTTGGAAGAGACAGTAACATGGGCAAGGATGTCTTTCAAGCCAAAGAAGTCTAGAGCTCTAATAATAAGGAAAGGGAAGAGAGCACACCAAGTCGAACTGAAGGTGCAAGGAGAAGTCATTCCATCAATAATTGACAATCCCATCAAGTGCTTAGGAAAATGGTATGATGACTCTTTAAGTGACAAAAACAATATCAAGAGAATTGAACAACAGGTTTCAGAGGGAATGAGGAACATCGACAAGACAGGTTTACCAGGGAAATTAAAGGCATGGATATACCAACATGGACTCCTTCCAAGGATATCATGGCCACTTATGCTGTACGAAATTTCATTGACAACAGTTGCGAAGCTTGAAAGAACCATCAACAGACATCTTAGGAAATGGTTAGGTGTCCCTCCAAATTTTACAAATGTAGGACTGTACAGCAGAACCGCAAAGTTGCAGCTACCATTTACATCTCTAGTGGAAGAATTCAAAGTTAGTAAAAGCCGCCTTGTGATGACACTCAAAGAATCTAGAGATGATAAAGTAAGAACAGCAGGTGTCCAAGTAAGAATAGGACGAAAATGGTCAGCATCAAAAGCAGTTTCAGAGGCAGAGAGTAGATTGAGGCGTAAAGATATCGTAGGAACAGTGGCAGTAGGACGACAGGGCCTTGGTACATCAAAAAGTTGCTACTGGAAGAACGCTAACACCCAAGAAAGACGAAGTCTTGTCCAAAGAGAGATAAAATCTAGAGAAGAAGAAAACAGACAAGCAAAGACAGTAGAATGAGGGAGCCAAGGCGCTTGGTCGAGATGGGAATTGGAACAACGATCCCTTACATGGTCAGATATATGGCGATATCCGCAATACCAACTGCAGTTCCTTCTGAGATCAGTGTATGATGTGTTACCGACACCTTCAAATCTGCACAGATGGAAACTTTCAGAAACACCAGACTGTCCCTTGTGCGAAAACAGAGGAACTCTACAACATGCTCTTTCAGGGTGCAATATCGCTCTTACACAGGGGAGATATACATGGCATATTGTTCAAGCACATTTTGGTTGCAGACTTATACTTCAAGTATTTTTGGTTGCAAACTTATTCTTATTCTATTGAAATCCATAGTAAAACTTTGCAAAAGGATTGTAGTAGTTTATATTTATTAACCTATTTTCAATGGCAATTATTGACATTTATGTTCTTTTACTTGTTTTTGTTATAAATGTTATTTATACTTTCTTCTTTTACAACAAGTATGCACTTTATGTTTCAAATTACATGGTTCTCAGTTCAATACTATAATCATCAGTAAAAGCCTGCAAACAAAATAATAGCACATACATGTAGAAGAAAAATATTTATTGATACTTTAATTCTAAAATATGTCATCATATGTAAAATGCAAATGAAAACTACATACAAAACAAACGTATGTGAGAGTACTGCTGTATGAAAGTGAATTATTTTCATCATAAATATAAGGACATGTGCACACATACGATGTTACTCGGCAAAATTTCCAAAGTTTATCAAAACCACAATAAATGAAATTTTGTTTGTTTCGTATGTAAAGATCAGCAGTTGCTTTAGACATAAAGTATGTAAATGTACTTATAAACCAACAGTTAAAATGACATGCTTGTTTACAATATTTCGGATTTGATGTACATATCATATATGTCAATTGGTATTCTAAAAATTAATTTGACAATGAGATCATAATATAACTGATATACGATTGGTAATTTACATTGACTGATATGTGACAAAACTACTTAAAGTCATTGTTCGAGTTAGGGAATTTAGAAGATGTTTCGATTGGTCAATAATAAGGAACAATTTAAAGAAACATGTGAATAATGCCCTTGTGTCAATGTTAATATAGTTTGTATCTACTATATAATCAAATTTATTTCAAATCTCAAAAAAAAGAACAATAATGAAAGCTGTTTGTTGTTTTTTTCTTCTTTTCCTTTACAGTTAGTCATGCCAAGATATAAAAAAGTCCTAAAACTTTGTAAAAAGAAAAGAAGTATATCGAGGAGAAAAAATGATGAAGATAAACACAACTGAACTTCAATTTAGCATATTGTGTTTTATATCTATTTGAAAGACCCTGTGTCAGGATATATCTGCACGCATGCACAATTTGTATATATATTTCTTATTAGATGAACGGGTATAATTGCCTTAATATTGCTAATTATTTTTAAAAAAAAAAGATAAGTTATTCCTCGCTAAAAATATGCATGCAACATTATTGACACAAAAGTTTGTAACCAACAATGCTTGAAGTATAAGTCTGCAACCAAAATGTGCTTGAACAATATATTTTTATGTATTGAATGTTATCTTCGGACTTGCGAACTAAACCATTTGTTCAGCATTGACAGAAACATATTTTGTTATTGTTAAATGCAGTTCAAAACTTACAAATTCGAATAAATTAGGAGAAAAACCGACCAAACAGTCACATGTCAAATTTCAAAATATCTATAGATCAGTTAATATCTTCAATAACTTCGTCAAAACAGAATCTAGGATGCTGAAACCTTTAACCGAGTGTGGCATATATATTGCATTATGGAATAGACATACTAATGAACTTCAAAATAACAAAGAAACCTACTTGCCTGGCAAAAATTCGTTCACCCGTTTCAAAAAATGACGCCGTGTTTGCCATTTTGTCAAGTTTGCAACCAATTCGCTCGCTTGAACCAAGTGTGCAACCACTTCACGTCCTGCCCCTTGAAAATCTTAACTATATACGAAATTCATTTAAGAATAGAACGTGCCCACTTAACCAATAATCATTGCGTCTCTTTTAACGCTTAACATTTCTTGTCTAATTATATGAGTATTCTATTCATCAAGTATTACTTTGAATTCATTTTTTCAAAGTATTCCATTAAGTGTAAAATGTCTTCACCTTTTGAAAGGAGTATATCACCTTGGTTATTAGCAGCCTTGAAATAATAAGCAAATGTAGATAACGGTATAATAGAATGATTTTCATCATACACTCCATCTTTTTATTTAAACATGCATTATTATAAATTATCTAGCATCCATAGGTTAATTTGTGCTTTTTCTCTACCAGCATTTTCGTAAAAATGTTCAAAAATTAGACCTAGTATCATTGTATCCATCTAAACCAAATTATCATACCTTTGGACATAGTAAGGATTTATTTTTATTTATTCTTAGTCCTTTGACACAAGAACAGAACAATTTCTATAACTTTTAATAGGGGCAACTATTTGCATGAAATAGGATAAAATATATGCACTTTATTAGCAAATTAAACATCCGTTTTAGCAGATGATATATTTACACTGCATACATACACAGATATTCTTAAAAGAAACACACCCTCTGACACTTCTCATCATTCATGAAGGTCAAACGTAGTTTAGTCTTCAAGAAATGTTCTTTTATGTAGCTTTCAATGTTGTAAGATAGCTAAAAGTATCTGTCTGACTGTAGATATAACACTTTATCTGTTTCCCCAAGTTTTATGCTTTCTATGTTTATATACTCTGTTGTTACCAGAACAACATAGTCGGTCATTAGATTCCTTTTTGGCAGCTGGTTATTTGTTTGAGCTATGGAAGGGTTCCATTGCTCGAGCCCTTCTAAGATTATCAAACATTTGTCTGACTCTCGGAACAGAATTTGCTCAAAAAACGACACGTTTTTGCCCTTTAAGATATGATTTTTGATCATATCGTGTATATGTGTTTCTTTTACATCTCTTATCGAAAGCAGAAAAACGTACTCGAACGGCAAATCTTGATGTCGACTACAATTAACTGTTATGAAGCCGCTGAATCTTCTGCAGATTGATGCTGAACCTGAAACAACTATAGTTTTGCTCAATAAACCTCTTTGATAGAATATGTCTTTTTCGGAGTGAATCCTTTTACCTTCATGGGAATATAGGTCAAACGATTCTACACTATCGTATGTATACCAATGACTTATTTCTCTCATAAATAGGAATGGTCCGAATTCTGAAACATAGTTCAAATATAAATGTTTTTATTATTAAATGTAGTTTTGGAACTTCACCATGCTCAAAAAGATTTTGATACTAAGGTCGTAAGGTCGTTTGTCTACATTACAAAAGATTAGTATACCTTTTTGAAACATCGCATTGAAATATTGGAAATATACTTGACTGATTGAAATATATAGTGATCTTGACACTAGCAAGAGATTCTTGTCAGCAACAGTTTTTCAAAAAAGGTTTACCCATTTACTCAGCTATAGACACAAAATTAATTGCAAAACAAATTATAAAAACAGTGATATAATTCGACAGTCATTACGTTTCGTTATTGCCAAAATATAAGTTGGTATGTCATCGATGTGTGATGAGGTTTGAAAAATATTCTACCAATAAAAAATTATCAAATATAAATAGATAAAGACATTGACCTTTAACCCAGTGACCCCAAACTCAAACCATACTTATGTTCTTCTAAATATGAGACATGAAGCAAAATACAATGGCTTTTTAATAAAAAGTATTAAAATTCTATTGTAAGCACAAGTGACAATAACATTGTGACTCCATATACTGGACCATCCAAGGTATATTACTTCCAAATATGAAATGTATCAGTCTATAAATTAAGGCCATATAAGCAAACACATATTTGGCACCCCTAACATTGACCAAGCACCCTAACTCAATCCAAAGGAAGAATACCATGCAAGTTATCAGCCTATCAAATATTGAAATGTCTTTTAATCATGCAATGCATGACAAAATACGATGCGGAAACGAATGTGTACCTTCAAATTCTCGAGTAAGAATGAGCACCTTCAAACTATATTTGTGACCTTGTAGGGACATGGGCCTTAGATGCGACACGTCGACTTGGTATGGTACACATTTACACCAAGATATTTTTAAATCCTTCAATTCATGACAAAGTTACAGTCCGGAGACAAATGTGTACATTTAACCTCTGAATGTGACCTTGAGCTTTTAGGTAGTGACATTGGTTTTAGAGTAGAGATATGGGTCTGAGACGCGAAACATCATCATGATGTGGTAGGCATTTGTGACAAGTTATTTTAAAATCTTTCAATGCATGACAAAGTTACAGTTCGGGCACGAATTTTGTGTAAGTGTGGACGGAAAGACAGATGGACAATAAGACCCTGCGATTTTAACAAGAAAACGTCGGGCGTGGCTCTGGCTTTTTGGTGGTTCTAGTTTAAATATTTGTTGATCCACAAAAACAATGGGTGTATGAAAAAGATATGTTATAATAATAGTCAAAACAAGTTTATTTCTATTCAAACTAAGCTAGAACATTACCTCGTTTCTTGGTCTGATATTCCTTATCGCGTAGAGCGACCCCAGACAGAAACATTTTCTTGATAATTATGTAGAAAACTCTGATGATAAATTAACAAATTGAAAACATTATTGCATATTTAAATAAATCATGAAATAATGCATAAATATTATCGCTAAAATTATGCATTAATATTATCCCTTGCTTCATTATCGACAAATCCATTCCTCCTTTATTGATGTGTACATTAGCGGGCCTTCAAACAATATAATGTATGCCTAAAAAGTATAGTAATAGTCTGTTGAATAATTTTTGAGGGTGGAATGATTTGTCATTATACCACTTAATTGCCCTTGTTTTTGTAAACTGCATGTATTTCTTATCAGATAGTAATATACGACAGCCTAATAGTATCAAGTGAAATAAAATAAAACATTTGAAAGGAGTAAATGAAGGCATTATAATTCGAAACAA